AAGAGTTTGAGCTCTGAGCAACAGTGGTTCCAGTCCAGCCTGAGCTGAGCAGCTGCTGAGCTGCCAACAGGTAGCAGGATGGCTCAGCTAAAAAAAAAAAAAAAAGACACTGCAATTACCCGGGATATTCCAAAGGTTTTAGGACCTCTGTGCCAGGAGCCGGGGACAGAGGCCAGTATGTATATTTTCTGTTATCTCTGCAGACCTCACCTTGAGAAACACTGAGGTAGAGTTTCTTGGGGGAATATAATTCACATTAATTCATAAACTAGAAATTGATGGGCCAAGGCTTTTCATGCCTATGTATCACACGATTGGCCCCCGATCATAGGTTTTCACACAGCAAATATATCAACTGTAGACTGGCTTCTGCATGGTGCATGTGCTAGCCCTAACATCTCAGTGTTCATGCTGCATAGAGCCTGCAGCTGCCCATGAAGTAGCACGTGAGATTAATCCACTCTCAGCAAAGGGCTTCGGAGAGATCGTTTACTCTGAATCCCCGGTTTTGGCTGACACCTTCTTCTCTGTGGTTAGAGCAGTGGCTCTAAGGGCTGGCCTCCAGGCTGGCATCATCATCCTGGTCACCCGGGAGCTTATTAGAAATGCACATTCTTGAGTCCCATCCTGGACTTAGTAAGGCAGAAACTGGGGGGATATGACCCAGCAATCTGTGGTTTAACAAGCCCTGCAGGTGATTTTAAATCTGAGCACCACTGGGTTAGAAGATCAAATGTATAGGAAGGCTGAGAATCGGGTAGCCTTCATTTTTGTCACTTCGCCTAGTTCTGTTGTGGCTAAAATGATCTAAACCAATTTTCAGCTTTCCTACCATTTGTGGACCATTAAGCTGAAATAACTGAGTTGGGAAAGCGTTAAAGCTCTAAGAGTCTTCGTTAGATCTCAGATTTGGGCTGAAAGATGGTTTGGGGAGATTTTAGGATCTGCATCCGACCTGTGGGACATTGTCAGCATTTCACTAATTAATGATGATTATAAAAATAAAGTATTGGTGGCTCGTGAAGCCTAAACTTTAATCAACCCCCAAATACCTTGAAAGATAATAAGTACTTTGACAACAGAAGTCTTGTTGATATCAAAAGCCCCCTTGCTTGTTTTGTCCCTAAGGATAAAACTGCAAAGTAGCCATCACAGTAGCCTGTTTCTCTGATGCAGGAGTTGACTTTTCTAATGAAAACCTTGTCCTTTTTTTCCCAAACCTCTTTCCCTGCAGGCGTTTTGGAATCATGGGGCTCTACAAAGGCCTCGAAGCCAAGCTGCTGCAGACAGTCCTCACGGCGGCTCTCATGTTCCTTGTTTATGAGAAACTGACGGCCACCACCTTCACGGTGATGGGGCTAAAGAGCATGCGCAAGCCTTGAGATGCCTTCCCCTGCAAAATGCAGAAAGATGCTCAAGATGGGGCTTTCCTTTCTTCTGTGGGAAGAGAAGTGATTCCCTTCTTGCTCTTTCCACCGTGAATTTTACCCTCATTGGCTTCAAAAGCATCTAAGGGTGAACCTGGAGTATATAGCCCACTGAACCTGTCACCAGCTGAATTTGTATGACAGTTGGTTGCATTTTGCCGAGAAGGTTGGACTAATGGTCATACGAAAAGAAAGCATTATTAAAAACCTAAAATTGAAAGTTGGGGAGTTAATTGGTGTTCTTAAGCAGAACGGGCTATTGCTCTCATGTGTAATCTTTGCCAGTTAAAATCTTTCTTACATTTGCCAGCTGTCCTCTTTCCCTGAACCCTCCCTCAGGTTCTAGGACAAATTACTTTGTAATTCTCCTCATATACTTTTTATGTCTTAGTCTCAATATTTTCCTTACTAAAAATAATATTATGACTGTGCCGCGGGCATGGTTTTATTTTTGTTGGGCTTTTTTTCTCCTGCGTAAGGAAAGGTGTCCTCTTTAGTACATGAGCTATTTATTTTGTGGGAGAGATAAAAATTCTTAATCCCAAATGATTCTCTTATAAACTGTTTGAAACATCACTTCTTCATTAGTGTTTGACATAATTTAAAAATATTTATTTCGAATCGACCCTTTCATTCCAAAACGCTTCTAGTTTTATGTTAATGCGTACGCGCCCCATCAAGTCAAGCCTCAATAAATTGTCAGCACAAAAAACATGCCCCTGATGAAGGTATTACATTGGGTTTTTGACCAGCTAGTAAAAATCACAGAAAAGGGAGAGGGTGCAGAAAGCTCATGCAGGCTCTGGAAGATCATCTCCCTTTGCAAACTCGGCAGAGGCTGTGTTTTTTGACAATAAATACCTGATTGAGGTTACTCTATTTGCAAACATTCATTGGCGTTCTGCTACTCAAGAGTGTGGCGCGTCAAGCAGCAGTGGTCATGTCACCTGGGAGTTTGTTGGACATGCAGTTCTAGACCTTCTGAATTATTCTCCGCATTTTAACAAGATCTCCAGGTGATTCATACTCACTCGAAAGTTCCAGAGACGTTGAAGCCCCTGACCCAGCAGAAGACATGATTATTTTCAATGATAGAAACCAAGACAATGATTTTTCTCAAAGGAAGATGGACTAATTGTATTAAAACAACCTCTGAAGAAAACTGGGAGTCCTGTGTCGTCATTTACTCCCCACTCCTAGCACTTGTGTTATGAAGCTAGGAATGAATTTAGACATCTCAAGCCACTCAAGAAACAAACTCTCTTGACATTAGAACAGCTCTTTGGGTTCCTATGACTTAGTTTCATCCTTATAACAAAATGACAGGTTTTTTATTTATAAATCTAATTCAGAGTCAAAGTATTAATGAAGTGTCTGTAGATGCTGGTATTTAGTTCAATTTTGAGAGTGGAAATTTCTTCCTCTTATTTCCTCCCTGGCCCCTGTGGTAATTTCAAAATATATAATTATCAAATGAGTAATACCTGAAAGATCTCTGGGTTGTTCTAGAAAACCAGAATTAGGAGCTAATAATCTGGGAACTAGATTAAGACACAGAATTGCAGATCAAGAATTGGCCCATTACTACCTTTTATTTTTCTTTAAGGTTTGTGTGTGTCTGTGACTGGGCTTGGGTGGGAAGCGCAAAACTTACTTTGATTTTTGTACCATAGAAGAATGATCATAAAGGTGCCGTGTGTACTTTTGTTGTTTTAATTATGCAGTTCATTTTAGAACTTGAATTTTGAGCTCAGTATTTGTGGGTTGGTATGTTCAAATAATTTCCAAGTCAAACTATAGAGTTATATTAAGTGTTTATGATGTGAGAATGCATTTGATGCTTTTTTCTGCTTTTATGAGGGAACAATTTAATATTGAGGTTTTATGTTCCCGATGGAAACTTAGAGACTCACTAGTTGAAACTAGGCAATGACTCACCCAGTTTTGTAACCTTTGATTAATAATAAGTTCTTAGAAAAAACTAAAGAGCTGAAGTCTATACGAGGGAGATGGAAATTTTTCTTGTTGATTCTTTTTTTTTTTTATAGGCTTTTTTTTTTTAATGGAGTATTGGGGGGAAGGGAACAGTGCTGGGGAATTGGGGGAAGGGGAACAGACAAATTGCTGTCGTTTTGCTCTTCAATCTAGTTGTGGAGGACGTTGCTTCACTGGCCCAAGTTGGCACCATCATTGCGCGCTTCCCAGGCGAGGCACATCAGTGTCACTGGCCCTCATATGTGGGATCCGAACCGGGGCCCTCTGGCGTCCCAAGCCAGTTCTTAACCATCGCGCCACTCGGCCGGCCCTCTTGTTGATTCTTGATGCAGTTTCCCTAGAATGTGAGGTTTAAGGGCCTTGGACATTACATTAATGTTACTGCTGTAGAAAATTTAATTTCTGTTAAGTATTTAATCTGCGTTTTGAAGTGGACACTAATATTTCTACCCATGTCTATTTTACAGGGAAGTTTGAAATGCAGAAATAGGATTAACCATCGGAACCTAGCCGTGAGAGTTAGAACCTTGGGTATTATTCCCAGCTCTGCCACTGACTAGCAAATTACATCATCTTGTGCTTCAGCTTTCTGATAAGTGGAGATAATAATACTCACTACCCACTTCAGAGGATGTTTGAGAGCTAATGTCAGTTAAATCCCTTTATGATCCTGGGGAGGAAAGATCTGAGTGAAACTTGTGACAATGCCGAGATTTATATAGCAATTTTCCTTTTTAAAGCTTGTACAACTTTCTCATTTTATAATCCCAATATCTCTGTGAAATAGGTAGGGACAGTAACAATATCCACATTTAATTAACAAGGAAATTGAGACAGAACTGTCAAACGACTTGCCTGGTTGGAGCGAGGACTAGAGCTGCGTTTCCTGCAGTCTAATGTAATGATTAAAAGAATGGGTTCTGGAATTAGACCTAGGTTCAACGCTGGTTCTGTTCCTTACCAGCTGTGGGAACAAAGCAATTACTGAACTTGTATAAAACTCAAGTTTCCTCAACTGTGTAATGGAGTGCTTGGTAAACCTGTCTCACAGGGTGATTGAGAGGATTAAATGAGATCAGATACATAAATTGTTTAACACGGTGCTTGCCACATGAGAAGAGCTAGATAAATGTTAACAACCATTATTATTATAATCTATGGCTGTTTGGATAGGTATAACTATGATTCAATGGATTTTGAGCCAGACCTGGGTGTGATTTTCATTCTGTCAATAGCATCCCAGCCACACAGAAAAGTCACGTCTTCACCTGAGCCTATGTCGTCATCGGTCATCACAGCAAGGCTATGATATATACATATATCTTCTTGAATCGTCCGTGCAGCCTTGCAAGGTAATCATTTCTCTTGGACAGAGGAGGATATACATGTGTATATATGCATATGGCATATAATTGACATGTAATATTAGTTTCAGGTGTACAACATAATGATTCGTTATATGTATATGCAAAACGATCACAAGTCCAATGAATATCACTAAAATATTCATCAGATAATGCTGTTTGAACCAAGAAAATCAGCTAGATTTTACTTTGGGCAGCGTTTCCTCTTTCCCTTTGTTTTAATTGTGAATATTTCTGAGAGTCAGTGTATCTCCTCAAAAGAGAAGCAAAATCCAGTCATTTTATTTTTTATTCGGTGTTCAAATTAAGTCCCCCCAAAATTTATCAGTTAATCAGTAAAATACTAACTGGTTCAACAGCAGAAAGTCACTGGCTGAGCTAGTGACTTGGCTGTCTAGAAAAGCTAGTGACTTCATGGGGCTAAATGCCACACAGCTGAGGACAGCCCTCCCGCTGGGCAGGTGAATTACTCACCTGGCAGTGTTGAATGTCACCAGAATACCAAATATATACAAAGACTCATCTGTAGAATATGGTGCAGGGTGGAACCCAGCAAGTGAGGTCCAATCTGGTATGACCTAAAAAGGAAGGAAACTCGGTTTGGAACTAATTGTGAGGATGGGTAATGGAACTTCCATGTGTTGAGTGCCTACTAAGTGACAGGCATAATGGACTTCCATACATCTTGATATCCTTTTAATAACTATGTGAAGTTCATTTCCATTAACAGATGAATCAGTTGAGGCGTAAAGAGGAACTTATCTGTGGTACCTAATGAATGGGGTTCGGGATTTGAAATGTAGGCTGACTCCAGAACTTCCTACATCCCTCAGATGTCCTTAAACGTAAGCCTTCTAAGCCAGTGTGTGTTTCCCTTTCACGACCCAGAAGGACACGTGACTGAAGGTGTGCAATTCTCTCTGTAATAAACTATCCCAACATGATGCCGTGAGGCACAAGGGCAGTCTGGCCTCTGTACCCCAGGTGGCTCCTTGAATCCATGCTGTTCCTCGCCTGTTCAGTGCCTTTGTTTATGTTTTTGGTGAGTCAGGAATCCCTTTCCATGATTCCTGGTGAATTCCTGCCTAGATCAGGCATCAGCTCTTCCCGGAAGCCTTTCTGGAACTTTGCTCCCTCCCACCCACCAACCACTTTGTACTCCTGTAATATTTTGTGCTGTGTCAATCATTACACCTCCTACATTGTATCTGGAATTGCAGTAATCCCTCTGTATCTCTGTCTCCCCCTAGAAACCTAGTTCTTTCATGGCAGGAAATGAGTCAAGTAACAGAGTGTCTCACTAGTGCCCTTAGTTGTTGCCTGAGTGTTTTTGACTAAAGACAGTGCTGACCTTTCTCCAATCAAATCCATCTGGTAATTAAGAGTTTACGTGTTTTTTGAGTTCTTGCACTCTGGTGTTTTCTTAGGTGATGATCAGTTTTTCACATTTCTGTAAATTAGTTCACAGTTCTTTCCATTATATGTTATTTTGCTAGTCAGTTGGCTTTTTTAACCTTTAAAGATTCCATTTTTTCTCTTTTTTTCTTAACTGGAGTCACCAAAATTATCTACCTTAGTGGTGAAATTTATATAATTCTTTCATGTGTACTTCATTCTTGTTTTGCTTTAGTTTATGTGAACCCCATTGGCAGGGTAGATGGCTGCCACGTAATGGGTGGTTCCTGTGTAGGAGTTGTATGGAGAACCGTATAAAATTGCAAATTCCTATTCTAGGAATAACATTCTCTTCGTTTATTTAAGAAATCGTGTTTGATTACCTACCATATCCGAGCACAATGCCAATTGCTGGGATTATCCAGAAGAACAATACGCAGTCTCTGCCCTCATGTGGCTCATTTCTCAGCATGGGAATCAGACAAAAAACAACTTGGAATTTGACCACTGATGAGTTCTGATGAGAAATGTAATGTAAGTGTTCAGGAGTTGATTTGGGAGCACGGCAAGGCCAGGCCCAACTGCGTTTTGGTCTATGTGATCAGAAGGCAACATTTGAACTAGAAACACACCAAGTAGTGGGGAGAGGACCATCTTGACAGAGGAAATACATAGCACTTGCAAATTTGAAAAAGGATAATGCTTCATTATTTGTACGTTGATTTGAATTCCCTGAGTTGAACCCTGTTGGAAAGTGGGTAGGGGAGCATCAGGCCGCTGAGAGCCTGCAACAAGGGAAAAGAGGTGACCAGGACCCCCAACTTACCGAACAGTTTCGTCTACAGTTAGGCTTGGGTCTAAAGAAAGAAGGTACATTCCCATACTCTGAATTTAAAATCTAATTTTAAACACACTTTTGAAAACACACATGAATCGTTTTGTTCTACCTCTGAAGATTAGCCACCAAGAGCAGTTTAGGCTCACTGGGAATATCTGTGATTGTCAAGGTCTGGACATGCACCTTATCTTGATCAACATGGAAGTGTTTACTTGGGAAATAGTTCACAGCCTAGTTGAGGCTGAAACTCTGAGTACTTTGTCATGCATTTGTTAGCGTATTAAAAATTATAAAAGCAGTGCAAACACGAGAGCAGGGGAATTTAAAAATTGAAAAAGTCTTCTTTATATCTTTTTAAATTTGCAATTGGTGTATAGGTGTGACATTTACAGATTTTTTTCTAACACATTCATTCTCATTTTATTCTCTATTGTGAGATTTATTTTAATAACTTCGTATGTAGAGATGGGAAAATTGAGACACAGATCTGGCTCAGGTCCTATAGCAAAGAATTGGGAGACCAAAACAGGACTTCAGACTTCCTGATATTCTCTTCAATAATCTTTTACT